TGCGAGGGGATCCTTGCGGTTGAGGTCCAGGGGTGCACACTGCGATCCGGAGCTGGCCAGACAAGATCGGCGAAGCAGATTGGCGATGAAGATTGGCGAGGAAGGAAGCAAGGAGGAAGGAGGAAGGAGGAGGACGAGGAGGCGGCGGAGGCGGAGGAGGAAGAACAACTGTGATAAATCTAACAACCCTCACCTGGCAGGTGGGGAAAAATCATTCAAGCAAAGGGGGTAGTCCAGCAAGCAGCTTTCTGACATTATTTAGGGGGGGGCCCTAGAACAATGTCTAGAGATTTCAAGCTTAAAACTTGTATTAATTCCCTTTCTTTTCCTTTTGCTTTGCTTTACTTACCTGCTCTTTAGTCTTCAAGCTTTCCAAAAGTTTCCAAAAATCAGTGCACACTTTCTTCGTATTCCAGATGTCTTCAATTTGAGATTTCATTGATTCCCTTTCATTTGTAATATTGCCAGTGTTGAGGGGGGGGGGGGGGGGGGGGGGTTGATTAATCAAGGGACAAAACAGCCTATCCAGAGAAGCCAAAGTGGATTGATATCCAAATTAGGGCATCCCCTATAGTTTTCCAAAATACTAGTCGACCTCCCTGCAAACGAAATGGCTTTACAAAAAGTATATGTGGAAGGTTTGACTGTTTCTCAGGTCCAAAGACTCGCTCATCGGAAGACAAATTTGAACCAGCCGCGCCTTCCCAAGATGGCACAGGCACGAGCATTGCTTGTCCAGCCTTTGCATCTGCTGGTACTTTCACTTCAAAGTACTGACCTCAGTGTGTTGAAACGATGTTTCACACTTCACCCTGTTTCACCATTTAAGGAAGGATGCGTCCAACCCACTGCAAGTGATTCACTATCTTCACTAGTCAAAACGCTCAAGCTGCAGTCTAGCGGCCCTTGGCCTTTGGATGGGGCACCTGGATGACCTTGCCTGCAGCACCTTCAGGTACCTCAAATACAAAGAGCATTTCCAAACCTTTGTTTAGCCTTTCTACACCTGCTGCAACTAAACATCTTAAGTTCAAATGGCGCACCTTGATGCAAATAGTTGGTCCTGGCTCCATAGGTTTGTCGTCCGCATCTCGAATTGGCCCGCCTGATTGAAAATTAATCAAGGCATAAAAATCACAAAACCAAACAACAAAGCGGAACACACTGAAGTTGCTGTCATGTTGCCAGGGGCTTCCATTCCTCAAAGATTCACGCGCCCACAGATTAGAACAAAAAAAGGGCGATATGATAACTACGGATACGTATGGATGAGTGCCAAAAACAATTCCCGCCACGTTGAAAATTCAGAGGCCCACTTTGGTTTCTCTTGTTGTGATTGCGTCAGCCTGTCTCATGAAACCTGAAGGCTCCGTCTCATTGGTCTAGAATTGTTTATTGGGCTCTTCATTACCTCTCCCAGGTCGCTGACTGGAATACCTTCCACCGATATTGTGAAAAAGGAGCACATGTGGAGCGCTTTCCAAAAAAAAGGCAACCGGTATGAATGAATTGCATGATATGATATGTCTCAGACAATCTTTGCACATCATTCAATGGCCTGTATTTATAATCCAGGTCGAGAAACGGTACGGAGCCCGGATTTCTCGAGTGCCACCGCTGATGAGATTCTCCTTTAAAAAAACTCCCGCAAGAGTGACGGTGGAGTTGTTCAGCAAGCTCTTGCTCATGACTTTGAAGCTTGGAAGATCTTTGCAGTGGGCGTTACTTTCGATTTGTCCTGGGTCATTTGCTTGAAGTTGACCTAAAGCGTCAACTGCTTTGGCGTCAACTGCTCAGGGCTCTCCACTCCAAATCACAACCAAGGCGAACCTCGTACTTTTCCTGGCAGAGGTCAAACAAAAAATGGCAGTATCAGTTGCTACGGAGCTTTCTAATCTTCCTCTCCCATCAGCTGCTCTGGAAACCAAAGTAGAACTGTTGCGTTTATTGGATTTTCGCCTTCTTGCCATTGATGAACCTGAATCGCGACCAAGAAGACAAGCAAAAGGTCGGTCGGTGCATAATTGTCATACTTTTCAGCATGCAAGTGAGGAACATATTGAAACGAGCAGTTCGCTGTCCAGACATGTAAGCAGTCTTTAATCTCTTGTCTTCCTTGTGCCTTGGTGGCAGAGCATGAGAGATAGTGTGTGAGTCAATTCGAGGACATCAAAACTCTTCAAGACCTGTAGCACCATTATAGCCTGCCTAGCAGTTGCATTTCACTCATTCATTCCTGTGAAGACCTAATGCACCAAGGAACTCGTAGTCCTGCCAATGCCGGCCAAGCTTGACCTGAAACCTTGACATGGCTTTCTTCTCACCTTCAGAGATAAATTGCCCCAAAACCCCAAAATCAAAGAAAGCATGAAAAATTGCTTTCATTCAATACGCCTTGAAAGGAGGGCTCTGGATCTACTCTGTCTGAGCCGTGTAGAGTTGAACAAGCACAGTTCCAGAGAGCACAAACTACGCGTGGCACATATTATATGTCACACAATATATGAAGCACTGGAAGTACAGTCTTTCTGCCTAGAGGCCACTGTTACCATCAGTCAGCTTGCTGCCAAATGGTGAGTGGCCGGAGTGCAATAAACAGCTTGGAACACCTGGCCTGCCGTCTGAAGCAACAGTTTTCTGCACAGCTTGTCAGTGGTTAAAGACAACCTTCTCCAACACAAGAGTTCAATGCGCGCTTCTTTCGGAGAATGTCAGGGACAAACAGGGAAACGTGCACTGTCGAAGCAAAATCTGCGTGTTGCACAAATCACAAACACTGGATGGATGATGAACATTAACAATGTTCAGCATTGCCAGAACCCTTCCTTCAGCACTCCTCTTATTTGGGCAAGCCCTTAAGTTTAACTGCTCGTGTGCATTCAACGTCTGTCCCTTGAAAATTGGATTTGATTTTGAAACATAGAAACGCTGTCGCTGGAGCAACTTGTGAGTGCGTGCTCAGTGACATTTAGAAAATCAAAGAATCAAAGAACTCAAGTCAGAGCAAGATTCATCCCAGCGGATGCTATGCTATATCTGGTGAGATGCTTAAGACTAGTCTGTAACGACTTCCCCAAAACCAGGGTGAGGACATCAAACATGAATAGTGCTGAGGTCATGGTGAATCTTGTTCCAGGTAAACATATATAGTTATCCTGCATTGCAGGATGTCCAGAGGCTTTGCGGTGCAAACAACAGCAATTATGAGGACCTGCAGCCTGCCTGGATGGGAGCCAAGGAATGAAAGACTTGGAAACCGCGGGAGTCAAGACTTGGAAAGCAAACCACGTAGCACCATGAACCCAACTATGGTGGCAGAAAGAAAGCCATGCGGCATCAAAGCATTTGGCATCCATCCGGCCAGTAGCTGCCTCTCACTGCACTTTACATGTAGCAAGATTGGAGAGCTTTGCTAGGTCCTTCTGACAAGCCCTTCCCCGAAAGCACTGTGCAGACTTTTCTGCACAAACTGAATGCCATTCAACACGAATGATCAGAAATGACATCAGCAACAAGAGTGATAAGAGGGACATGGCAAGGCATCAAACCAGGGCTGCACAAGAACAACAATGAGCCTGATTCTAGCCAAAGGAGGCAACACAGCGGATATGTAGTCAAATTGCATGCGCCAGTGGTTCCGGCAAGGCTTGAGTGCTAGAGATTCTCGCTGCTCGCAACCTTACATTGTCTGTTCTATGCTACTATGTGCAAGAATTCTCACCCTGGTTCCCCGATCTTAATCTTAGTCTCAGAGATTGGGCGTTGCAGCAACGAAGCTATGCCTTCTTGCCAATGCCATGCTGCCATGTCTGCCTGCAATAGAACTGGACGGCCGGGCCCTGACAATAAGTCAGGAAGATAGGTCCTCGCACAGAGTTCACTCTTTCACTAGAAAATATATTCAAGACATGTGGCAAATTAAGGGTGATTTTGATGCGAGTAAGTACTTGTACTCCACCTGCGGCAGCCCTTCCGTACTGTGCAGTAAGCCGTGTGACAAATGCCAACTGATGCCAACTGTGACTGAGCGCACCAGTCCTGACAACATCGTCAAAAGCCACAGAACCTCAACAAAAAGCGCGTCAATTCCTGGACTTTACCACATGAAACATCCCCACAGTTGACGCATCTGGCTATGGCAACTGTGCGCGGTGAATAATTCGGTGAACAATTTGTTGACCTCTTTGCTTTGGCACTTGATGTTCAAACCTAAACCATACATAATGCAAGTGTAAACCGTACAACTGGTCAAGGCAAACCGCGCGATGGAAGCTCTACACTGTACACAACATGTTGCTTCCAGCCGGCACCTGCATGTTTTATGGCTTATGGTAGGACTTCTGAGTGCCCAGGTGGTTCGGTGGTTCAAAAATACAAATTGGAGGCACCAGGCACCGGATGTATGCTCGGTGAAACGTAGCTTGCAAATTAGCATCAGCAAGGGCTAAGCCCGGAAAAGCTTGCAGCCGGCTCGAACTGCAGCTCATCGTTCTTGCTCTTGCGCTTAGGATACAATGCAAGCGTTGCTCGACGCTCAAATGAAGATGAGGATCCATTTTTGTTGAACAGGTTGAATGGCAGTTGCCAACATGAAGTGCATTTGATGGTGAGCTGACACTTCTAGAGGACTTTACATGTCCTTGTTGTGCTTTGTTGGACATTCTGGGGCTTTCTGGCCTGAACAAAGACCATGCAAATGGAGAAGTTTTCTGCTGCTGTGGGTGCAAGATTGTGACCTTCAGCACCTCTCGGTGTAATCATACATGCAATTGCCTTCACTTGCACGGTGCACTTGTTGGTTGATGCGTCATATCTTCATATGTTCTTGCTTTGCATGCTTGCAATGCCAATCTCCTGTTCACTCGGCTACCCCATGTGCTATGCTGCCATGCTGGATGGCGAGCAGGGTGCAGTTGCATGGTCTCCAACCATGGCTACGAACCTGCGGTCTCACACACTTCCCTGCTCCAGGGACCAGGACAAAGTCTCGACCTGGGCTTTGAACAGATTCGATGTCTGACATGTGTCGCTCAAAGGACCAAGTCCCAAATACAAGATGACATCTTTCACAGTTTTCCTCTTCGTACTGTACAACCCTGAAGTCGTTCTCAGGAGGTGCTTTGAATGCAGCCATTAGGGCCCATAAAACTCACCCTCCAACCCCGGCTTGAGATCTCTGCTTGAATCTAGAACACCTCCGTCGAGTCTCCGCAAATCTCAAGAAGCTCGAAGTCGCATGTGGCCTCAATCCACTCACTAAGCAATAATCACTAATTTTCACTTGCCAATCAAGAATATGTCGTGTGAAGGTGAGAAGCTGCAAGCCTTTTCAGTTCCATCAAACACTCCCCTTCCAACCACAATCCAATCAAAAATGCTGGCCAGCCTCATCCACGAACAAGTCTGCCTTTCAACTCCAGCTTATATTCACATCATGCCCACTTACGTGGCCGCGACGGAAAACAGTGAAACATCCGCTGCAGCTTGCACAAGTGATAGAGTAGCGGTGAGTAGCGGCGCGGTTGCACTGCAACACGTGCACGGTTTGGCTCATTACAAGAATCAGACCAGTGCCTCATCCGCGAGCTGAGGCAAACTGTCTGAGCTCATCACCCCCCTGATGTAACATCAAGTGAGCTGGAGTCACTAATTTGAAAGACTTATATAAAAATAATAACACAAATGTGAAAATCAAAAGGCGGTGGATGATTCCGAGTCAGCTTGCCTTCGAGGATCCCGTGGTGCTCAAGGATGCAAGGCTCATCTGCGACATTGAGTGCAGCAGCTTGGTCCGTTCCTGCGTCAAATTTCTGGACACGGCTTCCGCTGAGTGAACGGTCTCTTGCAAATAACAGTCAGCAAACTCCGCTCTTGCACGTTAGTTTCGCTAAATAACATTCTGGATGCCAAGATGTGTTGTTCGAGAGTTGCATTTCCCTCCTTTGGGCATGACGCTCTCAAGGTGGAAGGTCCCTGGCACAAGTTCAGGATCTCATCACCTTGCAAAGGTACAAGTTCAGGGCCGATGACAATCTCATGGGCCATCAATCACAACCGAGATCCTGACTAGTAGGTTTTGCGAGGTAGGCCGAGTTGTGCTCGGATGTGTACTTCCTTGAAATGCCCACTTACCACTTCAAAGGTTGCTTGCAACTTAACGATGAGAACTCGTGCAGCTCTTTCGGTGGAGATTGAATTTGCATTCAACTTGCCATGGCCGATTGGAATGCAATACTTGCAAGTATGCGAAAACCTCCCCTTTTTAATGACCTGCGACGGAACTTACTTTTTGCACATTAGTAAACTGCACTTTGTACAGTTGGGTGCGGGGCAGCACTGCTATAACTATGACTATGACTCTGAGAAAATCCACACTTAGGGACAGCTGCCTCCAGGTGAACAGGCTTCTTCTGGACACAAAAAAAGGTTAGGCACCAAATAGACTTTCAGGTGGTTCAAGCTCAAGTCTGGATAGTGATCTTGTTACTGTAGTGTTACTCTCACCTAAATAGGCTCCTCTGCCGTGTCAAGCCACTGAAAGCGGAATCAAATCAGCACAGCAAGAGTGACCGATCTCACACCGAGACGTTTCTCGTCACATGCTCTGCAGTGCTTTGGGACAAAAGTCTACAAGAGGACGACACTCAGATGACACTCAGATCGAGCTTGCTGTGTTGCAGTGTCAAGAATCATGCACTGCCTGGCACCTGCAATCCTGTTCCCTTTGCCAGGATGCGGTGATGTTCAAGCGAAGTGTTTCGGAAAAATTGCGGAAAGCAGGCTGACAGCTGGAGAAGCATGCCTTAACTTCCGTGACAGAGATCCCTTTCGTGAGACTTGCGCAATATGTCACATGGCTTGCCAGTCCTTGCTCGGATTCGGCAAGCAAGTCGCAACATCTGCTCGGCAGATGCCCCGGAAGCACTTAGGACTTCCTGCAGTGTTGTGACCTCTGCTCTGCCTGCTCTTCATAAACTTGTCAAACCAAGCTGCAGTGTCCCTGCCAGGTTTACCATGCAGTTAGAAAGAAAAGCCTCTACATCAGCCCATGCTCCAAGATCATGCAGTTTATGACGATATGATATATCCCTCTGAGGCTTGAGAGGTTGCAGGCTGTCTCAGAATTCTACCGCGGCACAGTTGGAAGATCATTTGACCCCTTTGCCTTCCTCTGAGGTGATACCAATGAACAATTTATGTTGACATGTATTCGAAAGCATCTATAAACATGTATATATTGTATAATGAGCATGTCTCAGATGTGGCAAAGAATGTCCGGCCGCAGTTTCGACGAATGGGCATCCCTCCCAGCGCAAAGCATACTGCATACACTGCAATGACTTTGGATAAAGGATTGTACGAATACTGTATCGATGTGTACTCGGCTAACCGTCTAACAAAAGCACTTTCAATCAGAGAATGGCAATTAGA